CTCTAGCCGAACCTCACACAAGTGTGTGTGTATACCTCAAAAAGGTCTTTTTAAGGGTTGTAACGTGGTTGGGCTAAAGGTTAGAAAAGAAGGGGATAAAAGCTCAAGACCCTCGATAAGCCCCCAAGGTGTGCAACTTTGCTTTTGAATCTTTATATTTTTATGCTTGAGGGTTTTAACTCTTTTTTAGCTTTCTTTTATCTTTTGCTTTAGCATCTATTTTATTTTTATAAGTGTGGGCAATCCCGATCATGCGGTCTATCACTCACTTGGCATTCATGTTTCTCAGGCACGGTACCGAGCACTCGATAAGAGACGCAATCTGAGACGTGTTCTTATCAAAGACATTTTCATATCAAAGACATTGGAACACTTGCCCTTTTGTACACTTTTATTTATTTCTTTTTTGCTTATTTTTTTGCTATTTTAATCTTTTGAAGTTACTCAAGCTTTTTATGAAATTGAAAATTGCATAAGTTACACACCATCCCATCCCAAGGTTAGGTAGATGTAGGTTGAAAAAGAAAGTTCTATCGTTAGACGAGGCTCAGAGTGGTTTATGAAGAAAGGATTGTAAATTTGAAAGGTGAAAGGAGATATGATGTGGCTACAAGGGGTGCCTCAAATCATTGGTATACCTTGTGCTTAGTTCGACATGGATTTTTTTTTTTAATGCAATGCAATGCGATGATCATATGCAAGGAAATAAATGCTCATTTTATTAAAAGGGAAAATAAATAATGATCCTACAAAATAAATCTAAAGAGAAAAGAAAGGTGCCTATGCTAGACTTATTGGGGAAAGGAAAAAATGAAAAGAAATAGAAAAAAAGGTCATGAAATCTTGTCGTTGAAGCTCGCCTCTTGTCTTGTGTCATTCGTTTCATCATCACCCAGTCTTCTCGCTAGCTAGAGGCAATGGGATCTTGCTTGCTTCTATGAGATCTTGAATGAGATTTTGAAACCTGTAGCATTCATCAGTGGTATGACCGTTTCCTCGATGGTATTTGAAATGAGAGTTGGGATTCCATCTCGAAGATCGATTTTCTGGCGTTGGATCCTCGGTAGGGCCTATAGGTTTGATTAATCCTCGATCATAGAGGCGATCGAAAGTAGCATCGTAGGTCATTCCAATGGGTGTGAGTTCTCTCCTGGGTTTCCTTTTAGATCCTTGATTGTCCATGGCTAAGACACCATCATGGTCAAAGGTACTAACATTATTACTAGAGTGGGCGTTTTCGGAAGAAGAAGGAATGTCGTTCTTCTTTCCTTTCCAGCCACTGTGGTTACTATTGTTAGTAGCTTTTTGCTTTGCGAGGTCATCTTCGATTTCAATTCCGATGTCATAAACGGCCTTGAAAGTATTCAGATTATGTTGATATTTTAAATGCTTCGAATACTTCTCTTGGAGATTCTTGATAAACATCCTCACGGATTCTTTTTCAGTGGGCACCTCAATCATCTTAGCGGAAGTTTCCCTCCATTTATTAAAGAAAGAAGTAAAGCCCTCATTCTATTTTTGTCTTACCATCTCAAGCTGTCTATGGTCGGTTTCAACTTGAATATTGCACTTGTACCTATCAACGAAAGCGTTTACTATCGATTCCCAGGTAGAGGTTTTCTCTTTGTCAAGGGAGAAGTACCATTGTTGGCAAACGGTTTCAAGAGATAGTGAAAACAGAGAGGGGAAAACCTTCTTATCATGTTCATTATAGTTTCGAAAGCTCTTAGATGGAAGTAAGGGTTATCTGTTGCCTTGAACTTAGGGACGTTAGTGGTGTTGAACTTATGTGGAAGAAGTTCCTTGTCCAGCGAGACCCCTTTTGAACTCATTCCCTGAAATTTTAGTTACTAGATAGCTTTCTCAAACTTTCTTGCATGAGGTTCATTTGTTGTTGCTTCATAGGGTCATCAATTTTGAGGGTTAAAGCCTTTAACACCTCAGTCACATCACTCAATTGATTCCTAAGTTCATTGACTTCTTCTTGACTTGCCATTATCTTTTTAGCCTTCCTCTTTTGGCGAATTGGTTTATCAAAAAGTGAGACTTGAATAAAGAGGTTGTCCTTGATTAATCGCCCTTCTCTCCTCGACCAAGTACTGCGGAAAAGGAATTTGGGGATATTCATTGTTAATTGACTCGTGTGTGTGCTAAGACTAGTGAGTGTAGGTGACATATACTCGAAGTGTGTGCTAAGACTAGTGAGTGTAGGTGGTACGTTAAGACTCGTGTCATGACCATGTGGCTAGACTATGTGACTAGACTCAATTAATGACTCGACAAGGTGTTATTGACAGCGAAATTTAACCGAATTAATTAGCAAACTGGTTAATTAGACACTAGGTGATGACTCGACCAATAATCCGAACTGTCGGCAAAACGATAGGACTGGCGTCGTGTTGTGTAGTGTAGCGCCAGACGACAGAGCTGTCGCCAGGCGCCACACTCCACAGAGTGGCGCTACAGTCCAGACTTTGGCGCCAATGCTGGAGCTTCAATCTGAAACTGTTTTCGGTGTTATTAATCAACAGGGGTATGCTTAAAGTCGTACTAGGTCAATTCTGATTAAAATATTAGACTTTATTGACTCAAATTAGTAATTAATTAGGAAAAGTTCTTTAAGTCATTAATTTATTTAATCTCAACACAAGTCAAACAAACGGTTAAGAAAACATAGAATATATGCACAACAAATAATGCACAATTAGTCAAGTAGGCACAATATGATGCAATGAGTTCGCAACCTAACCATGGCTCTAGTTCTCTAAAGTTCGGGATATGGTTTAGTCAATAGAAGGTCCATGGTTAATTGTCCGGATGCACCGCGCGGAAGCCTAACCGTGAAGGGTTGGCGCGAGTGGATGGGACACCGCAAGTTTTAGAAAAAACTCGCTTACATGGTTTGGTGAATTCAACAATCTCGGATGTACCCTTTGTTGCTCAGAGCGTTCAATCAGGTAGATGGAGCATGAATTCCCAGAGGGTTATGTCCATATGTAGAACACATACGGGTTTCAGAAAAGTGAGAAAAGATTCAATCAGGAAGTAGGATCGAGCAAACAATACGAAAAACTGGTCGAAATTAGAACACATATTTTTGGCTCGGTATTGGAAGAATTTGGCACCAGCAAACAGAGACTGGCGCCAGGTTTTAGCTGTAGCGCCTGGCGCCAATGCTGGCGTCTGGCACTACAGTTAAAATTCTGGCGCCAATGCTCTGGCCCCTGGCGCTAATTCCTACATGCCTCAGCAGCTTTTTGTGCTCGATAAAATTTTCCAGTTTCGCGCAGTGTTATTTCGGTCCTAGTTGTGAAAGATACTTCTCAAATTTCCTACGTGTAAAATCCTATGTTCTTAACTCATTACGGATGGTCTTTCCAATGAGATCTTTTTTATGCATATGACAAGAATGTTAATCAAAATTACGCACATGAAATACTTAGAACGTTTCGAGTCTCATCCACTCATTCTAAATCATTGCCGAAACAAATTCAGGAATTAAAATAGAAATCTTCCCCAGCGGAGTCGCCAAAAACTGTAGGGAATAATTTCAAGCGTTAACACCTAGCTTGAACCCCACTATGATCATACACTAAAGTACGATGGCGTCCAAAAGGGAAGAAGATAGAGCAAAAGAGTCGCCAACAAGTTTTAGGAACTTGTAAACCGTTCACAGGGTGAAGGTTACGGCCCTTAACGATCCAAGAGATCGTCAACTCCATAAGGTCTTGAACCAAATAAGGGTTCGGGGATGAAGGTACAAATCCAATCTAAAAGAGATTGAACCTGCCCTAATAATAGACCTCTACTTTATTCTGATCGTACTCATGTGCGCTTTTTGACTAACATGCAATCAATAGGATTACCCTAAACCTGTTTAATCTATGTTGGTTGAATTTAATGCACAAATAAATCTATTATTGGCAATCACTTGAATTATAATCACATTAACCCTAAACAAGATTATTAATTATCTTATTAAGCGTGATTACAAGTACCAATTCCCTTTAAGCATGCATAAAAGGTGTGATCAAGCAATAACAAATAAATATACATATCAAGAAACATAATAATAATCAAAACAATAATCATAATTATAATAATCATAATTAAAAATAATCATCATAATAATTATAACAATTATAATCATAAATCATAAAGAATAATCATAATAATAATCATCATAATAACAATCATATTAATAATAATAATAATCATGTTAAGGCATAGCAAGATCCTATGCATGATACTAACAAGATTAATAACAAACCCTAGCATGTCACTAAACAATAAAAATCAAATCTTTAGCCCTAACATGATACTAACAATCATAAATATTAGGAAGAACATAGGAAGCATCGTAATAATCATACTTGATATTAAAGTTACCCTAGACATGATACTAGGAATCAAAATAACAATCTAAACATGATTTCTACATCATAACATCAATAAAAACCATTAAAACACTTACTTTGATGCCTCGTACCTCTTTCTAATAACAAAATACACACGTTAGTAACTTCAAGGGAAATAATAAAATCAACAATTAAATTAAATAGTGGAAAAAGAGATTTGGGACCAAACCCTCAGAAATTAAACCTTTTACGTCTAGGGCGAAGGCAACTTCGAATATGGCTAGGTGTTTCTAGATCTTGCGAATGCGGAATTTTGTATGTAAAAAGCTAGTTTAGAAAAAGAGAGAGAGAGATCAAAAGAATCTTGATGAGAGTTGGTGAATGATTATTGAAGAGAATGAGAGAGAATTGAAAATTGGTTGTAGGTTGTAGGTGAATCAAAACGGAGTTTTTACGACGTTATTTATAAAGAAAATCAGCCAAAAAAATAAAAATATGAAAACAAAGTCTGGCACACAAAAAAACAGAACCAGCGCTAACGCTGGCTGTTGGCGCCAGGCGCCAACACTAACACCAGGCATCAATCACTACAAGAAAACACATTTATGGCAACGACTTTTTGCAACAACAAATTGTAGGTCGTTGCAAAAAAGTTTATTTGCGACGACTGCAATTTTAGCGTTACAAATATTGTAGCAAAAACTGAAAATTTCATTTCCCTCCCTCCAAATACAGCGCGGGCACTCAATGAAAATTTGAGTCAGGTTTTTGCAACGACATAGTTGTTGTGTAATAAAAAGTATATATATGAAAACAACCAATGTAGTTGTAAAAAAGAAAAATAAATAATGACAACAACAGCTCGTTATCAAACATTTAGAAAAATAAAATGGGTAAGACAAAAAAATATAGATTAAACCATTCAAATCTTCTTTTTTATTTTTTCATTTGCTCTGAAGAAAACGCTCGAAACCCTTACTATTTCCCACCACTCTCTCTCCAATGGAGACCCATCTTCTTTGATGACCCAAAATCCTCGGCTTATAGATCTTCTCCGGCGACTCAGCCTCTTCACTTTCTCCGGTCCGGCGACCCATCAAACTTTAGCTACAACTTCAATTGTGGTCTATTGCTTCCATTTTTGTCATCTTTAATTAATCTATTTTCTTACATGCTAGCTTTTATATTCATTGATTCTAGTATCAACTTTGCAGATCGGTACTTTGTTAGTGAAAGTGGAGATTATAAACATATTGATTTTTAATAGTTGCCGCCACAACATAATTCTCCTCAAGGTATTCATTTGAACATGGTTACGAATTGAAGTGCTAAAATTCTCAAGGAAAACTGGTATTTGGTAATTTATCTTCCCCCTTTCATATGCCTTAATTTAATTTATTCAATTATTTTTTCAATTTAGTTTTAAAATGTACTGGGTTTTGTGAGTAGAAGTTTTTGCTTTTATAAAGTTTCACTATTTTGTTTTAATTTTCCATTATGTTCATAAAAACCATGAATGTGTCTGATTAACTTTTATATTTGACTTTTTATGGCTTAGGATATAGTGGGTTTACTAGAATGTTGAATTTTATTACTTTGGGGCAAAATTTTATAAATTAGATTAGTTTAAGGTACTACTTTTAGCTCATTAACAAGAGTGGCAAAAGTTTTAGCTCTAGACACATTATTCTATTTGCTGCTATATAAATTAAAGTAGTTTAAGGTTGAGATATATTACGAGTATACATTTTCTTGTATGTAGTTATCTATACTTAAAAAAGGATTAAAAAAAAGAGCTACAAAACAGAGTAGATTGGAATAGAGAGAATGAGAAGTATATACTATTACAATGGAGGTTATATGAAACTAATTATGGAAGCCTTAGTTCCTTGTACTACATTTTCCATTTTCTAGTATCATTTCCCCATTGTCGTTTGGTTTAATTTCCTATAAAATGAAATAGATGGATACATGGACATCACTTTATAGTTATCATGTTTTTCTATAGTGGAAACTTTGGTCATAAATTATTTTTCTTATTATTCATCTTGATGGTTAGTAGCACTGAAGAGGACGAGTCGTGACAACTAAATTATAATAGTTATATATTAGTACTTTAGTAGCACTGATGGGACCATCACTTATTACCATTTACCCTGTATACTCCAACTTGAAGGCATTATATGTACTACTACTCTAAGAAAGGATCGATTCCTAACAAGTTAACATACATATAATACAAAAAAACACACTATAAGTCATTGGGACAAGGAAGATAATATTGGTTGATAATTTTAGTCTTCTGTTTTTTTCCTTTAACAAGGTTTAGTTTTATGGACTTCTTGTATTTGTTTTGTTTCGTGCCCTGTAATTTTATATGGGTAAGGGGAAGAAGATTGAAGAAACAAGTTTTGTGCAAAATGAGTTCATTTTCCGAACTTTTGTACTGGTAGAATACAAGTTAAAGCATAAATTTGAGCTATGAAAATTGTTATCACTTTTTCATCACTAGTAGAAAAAACGTCATTTGTAACTGACAAAAACGGGCTTTTTGTAACCAACTTTGTCCGTTACATATACAGGAGTTACAAATACTGTTAGGCTTTTGTAACAAACAGTGTTAGTTACAAGAAGTTAGGCAATTGTAACGGACTCTCTAAATGTTAGTTACAAATACACCATTTTATAGTCTAATTTGACAGTTTATTGTAACTAACTTTTTAAATGTTAGTTACAATTAAGCTATTATTTGTAACTATCATGTTAATTGTCCGTTATGATTATATGTTTATTCGTAACTACCATATTTATTGTCAGTTACAATTATACCTTCAATTTATGATAACAATTCAAGATATTTGTAACTAACGATTTATTTGTTGGTTACGAATAATTGTATTTTTTTTTTTGTCCAAATAATTTATATACGGAGAAGATATCATAGATAGTTCCTGCAGGTTTGAGTACATAGACTCATATACAATCTCATTTTCCTACAGAAAAACGGACAACATCTCCCCTGTTTTACGAACATACCAACTTCAAGTTGATATTGATTAATAAAAACCTGTACATAAACCTGTACTCACAACACTACTCTAACATCATTACCATTCACCAATAAATGAAGTCATCATTCCACATAAAAAATTTAATGTAACATATCAATAAATTCATTCACTAATCAACAAACAAGTTCACCATCCCTACATATGCAATCAAATTAGTTATGCATTCGATGAAATTAAAATAACTAAATTGGTTCATTCAACAAATATTTTCTTCGAAAGAAATTTGCCCACTGTTCTCGAGTTTCATTCAATTCCCTTTCATCATAAGCCATTTTCCTTGCAGAATATACCTGGTAAAATACAAACAAATATTATATATTCAAATAAATTCAAAAAGATTATTTTAATTATTTCAAAGAAACAATCACACGTCACTTACCTCCTCTTAAATTACCTTCGCACTCACTGTGACCAACAACAACCTCATACATGTATCTCATGACGTAATATCCACACTCAGTACCTCCTTTTTATTGAGCACACTAGAATTAAAACATCAAAGCCCACAATTTATTACCCATTAAAATACTTATGCATTGCATGCATTAATTTGTGTAACATAAAGGATATCACTTATGTACCTCCATTTGCTTAAATAGCAAATTTTTCCTTCTACTTTTCAAAACATTACCCTTCAATTTAGACAAATACACCTTGTATGCCCTGTAATAAAAAATTATAATAAAAAAATAACAACATTTTTCATAAACTTTGAATTTATTATGTGAAAATGATGTTCTATCTTTACTTCATTAGTATATCAGCCAATCTCAATTTTCTTGGGGTCTTTTTAGGACAAGTGGCAGGATCAAACTCGAACACAAGGCCCAATTGTAAGTTTATTACCAAAAGCACCCAATGATTACTATAAAAAAATGGCATTCCATAAAACTTTAATTAACTTGTAATTCACAAACATATACAATAGTAAATAATTAAGCATGTGTCGTAGGACAAACCTTTGAAGATACGGTGCTAACATAAATTTGCAATGCTTATCTTCCTTTTCAAGTTCGGACATAAAAGCCTTTTTAACATACCCATGAACTTCGAGATAAATTGTGCTCGATTTCAGCTACCAAAATCCTTAGAGGACAAAGGAATGTGATCTCGGTTATATTTAAAATGGAAATATGCATATGAATTAGGTACCTGCAAAAAAAAAATTTGGTTACTTACATATAGGATGGGATATATAAATATCTTTCAATTACACATACAGATTAGAGTGTGAAAATCTTACAAAATGTAGACATGAAACAACGAAACATTAGCCCATGCTCCTCTAAGAAGTTTTGATACGTCTGTAGCTGTAACAAAAGTTTTTTTTATCCTCATCTTGATATATCATTATAACAAAAGTACTTATAATGATATGTGGAGTATGATCCTCTTTCGATGAAATCAAATAGAAAGGGAAGAATTGAACCTGCACTGGATGCAAGCCAAGTTTACGACTTCCAATGCCTTCCACTGTGATTACATGCATTCCTTCTACAGAGTACAGCGGCGCCAAACATGCATTAACTGCATGGTGCCTGGTACAGGAAGGGAAAAAATATGAAATTAAACCAATCTCTTTAATATGGTTTGGTTTGTCATCCATTAAAGATGCAATAGTAAAATAAAAGTGCTCAACCAATATGGATTCATGTTCTAATCCTACTAGAACAAAGTGCAGTTCACAGAAGTAACTACTATCCAAATGGTGTAAAAATTAAGCAGACAAATGGACAAGACGTGTTTCTACGGATGAAACTATGTCATCCTTCTAAACTTCTAAGGTAATTCCTGATAGTAGAAAAAGTAGTATACAGTCATCATTGCAATAACAGTGACAGAAGCAGCACCTGACTAGTTACTTTGTACTTCATGAGTCACAATTATCACTGCATCAATTGATACATTTACAAATACTTCGATTCTTCTTTGTGATTCATTATATTTGGAGGTTAATCATAGGCTATACTGCATAACATATTTTTTGAAGAAATCAGGCGTTCAGATGATATTAAAGTATCAAGATGCATCATGCCAATATTAACAGATTGCTACTGGAATAACATGATGGTCTATCAGTCACAACCGATTTCGTAGTGCTAGTTAACACACATAGTCCAAACTGCTTTCCGCACAACAGTTAGTTGAAAAACTTTACAGAACTTTGTATGACATAAGGCTTTAATATGACACAAAGCTCCCTACATTCATTCATAGCCAACAAAAATAACAGCTGCTTTTCACACCATGCTATTAGTTTGCCATTTTATTATAATTCAGTAAATTTATTTGAATAGCTGTTTGAAAGGAAAAAACAAGGTAGGACCTCTAGACGGTGGCTAACGCTCGAACTAGCCGACGGCACTCCGGCAGCCTTCAACCCAGAGGAACTCCGGCAGCCTTCAATCCAAAGAAGTAAATGAGCCCAATTCAATTTGCATGTAAAAAAACCAATTAATTCTCAAACATACCCTAATGTATAAGTGTTGATGCTGCTTGACGGTGGCTAACGCTCGAACTAGCCGATGGCACTCCGGCAGCCTTCAACCCAGAGGAACTCCGGAAGCCTTCAATCCAAAGAAGTAAATGAGCCCAATTCAATTTGCATTTAAAAAAAAAAACCAATTAATAATTCTCGAACATACCCTAATGTATAAGTGTTGATGCTGCTTGACGGTGGCTAACGCTCGAACTAGCTGACGGCACTCCGGCAGCCTTCAATCCAACGGAACTCTTTGAGGCTGAACTTCGGCGGTCTTCAAGCTCAGGTGGATGGGGCGGTGCTCAAGCCAAATTTTCTGAGTGAATTGGGGGGGGATTTTTGTGGGAGTTTTTTTTTTTTTTTTTTTGGGGGAATTTTAGACTAAGGTTGGGGGTAATAGGGGAGGTCGAGGGTTTTTTTATTTTTTTATTTTGGGGATTAGATTTTTCTTTTTCTTTATTGAAAAAAATATATTAAAATAAAATGAAATTAGTATTTGTAACCGACTATGTGTTGTTAGTTACAAATATATATTTACAGAAAATATTAGTAGTCGTAACAGTCAATTAAATTGTTAGTTACAATAACAATTACTTGTAACCAACAATTCTTAGTCAGTTACGATTACATGAGTCATACAAGTTTTTACTAATTATTTGTAACGGATTTTTTAATTGTTAGTTACAAATATACTAATTGTAACTAAAAAAGTACTGTTGGTTACAAATAGGGGGTTACAAATGACGTTTTTTCTACTAGTGCATGTATAAAAATTTGATATTTCAATAATATAATTGTTTTTTATGTTAGGATATGGCATTGAACAAGGCATGGATGAAATTAAAGAGTCGTTCATCTTCTGATTATATTTATGGTGTAGATAGCTTCTTAGATTTTGCCCTTTCTAGTGTTGAAGAAAATGAAAAAGAAACTATCACTATCAGGTGTCCATGTAATAGTTGTCGTAATATTTTATAAAAGAAAATGTGATGTTAGATTTGACTTGCTAAAATGGGGAATGTATGAGAAGTATACTTCATGGGAATTCCATGGAGAATTATATGATGATTCAAGTGATGAGGAAAACGACAATGGCAATGTCTTTGGCAATCATGATAGTGGATTTGCCATGTTACAAGATGCTTGTGGTGTAGCTGCTATGAATGTGGGGCTAGATGAGGATACATCTAATGAAAACAACCTGATGCCTGAAGAACCTAATGCTGATGCACAAAAGTTTTACCGTTTGTTAAAAGAGTATCAACAACCATTAACTGTAGACGGTACAACAATGCCTAAACTATCATATATTGTGAAATTGTTGCATTTGAAGGTCCTCAATAAGTGGAGTGGTAGTTCGTTTGATAGCTTACTTAAGTTACAACGTCAAGCTTATGGCTCTACAATTCCTGATTCTTATTATGAGGCAAAGAAACTCATTAAAGATTTGGGTCTTGATTATATAAAGATTGATGCTTGTCAAAATTATTGCACTCTTTATTGGAAAGAGAAAGAAAATTTGACTAAGTGTCCCACATGTGGTTTATTGAGATGGAAAAGTGATGAAAAAGGTTCTTCTAAAAGTATAACAAAGGTGCCTCACAAGGTTTTGCGCTACTTTCCATTGAAGCCTAGGTTACAAAGGTTGTACATGTTTAGAAAGACGGCTGAAGATATGCGATGGCATAGTGAAGATAAGTTCAATGATGATATAATGAGGCATCCTCGTGACTCAATTGCTTGGAAGTCATTTGATATGGAATTTAGTGCATTTGGCAAAGAATCACGTAACGTAAGGCTAGGACTAGCTTGTGATGGGTTTCAACCATTCAATAATTCACAGCACAGTACCTGGCCTGTTGTTCTTATTCCGTATAATCTGCCTCCATGGATATGCATGAAAGCTCATTCATTCATGTTAACTTTACTTATACCCGGACCTACTAGCCCAGGAAGAAATATAGATGTATACCTTCAGCCATTAATTGATGAATTGAAAGAGCTTTGGAACATTGGAATTGAGACCTATGATGCTTTTTCTAAGGAAAATTTTCAGATGCATGCAGCAGTGTTGTGGACAATCAAGGACTTTCTTGCCTATGGAGATCTTTCTGGATGGACCACTAAAGGCCATTTTGCATGCCCATGCTGCCATAAAGAAACGAAACGAACATCTTTGCTGAGCAAGGGTGGCTATTTAGATCATCGACGTTGGCTTCCACTTGATCATATATGGAGACAAGATGTTGCTTCCTTTAACAATAAAAAGGAGAAAAGGCGTTCACCGCTTCCATTGAGTGGGGAAGAGGTACTACAACACTTGTCTCGTTTCACACCAGAAAAGTTTGGAAAGAATTCTAACAAAAGAAAAAGGGATGCCTCAAATAGTCTGTATGGGTGGCATAAAAGAAGCATTTTTTTTTAATTTGCCTTATTGGAGTAAGTTAAAAATTTGTCATAACTTAGATGTTATGCACATCGAAAAAAATGTCTCTGATAACATTTTGGGTACTTTGTTGGGCATAAAAGGCAAGAGCAAAGATACCACAAAGGCTCGAATAGATTTGATGAAGATGAAAGTTAGAAGTGAATTGCACCCGATATTGGATGGTGATAAAGTACGTGTTCCTGTTGCATGTTACTCTCTAAGCTCAAGTGCCAAAGCTGCCATATGTGATATGTTTACTAAAATAAAATCCCCAGATGGCTATTTATCAAACATTTCTCGTTGTGTCAAGGATAATGGAAAAAAGATTTCTTGCTTGAAGAGTCATGATCATCGTGTGTTCATTGAGCAGTTACTTCCTCTTGTAACGCGTGGCTTTTTGCCAAAGTATGTGTATGAACCTCTGGTAGAGTTAAGTTCCTTTTTTAGGAATTTGTGTTCAAAGAGTGTAACCATCGGTGAACTGGAAGATCTTGAAAGAAAAATCCCTTACACGTTGTGTAAGCTTGAGATGATTTTTCCACCAGCTTTTTTTGATGTCATGGTTCATTTAGTTATACACTTGGCAGCCGAGGCAAAGATTGCTGGGCCAGTTCGTTATCGTTGGATGTATCCAGTTGAGAGGTATGTTGGGTAATATTTTTTTTTTTTTTTAGTTTTTCTATAATTTTGAGAATTCACTGACTTTAAAAGCACTTTAAACTCAATAGGTACATTCAAACTTTGAAATCATATGTTCGTAACAGAGCACACCCAGAAGGTTCAATAGCTGAAGGATACCTTGCTGATGAATGTCTAACATTTTGCTCCAGGTATATGAATGATATTGACACTGTTTTCAATCGTAAAGCAAGAAATGATGATTATGTGGTGGATGGTTAAGATGTTTCTTGTAGTAATCTTGAGGTATTTAAATCTTTGGGGCGTAGCATTGGACAAGGTGTTCCTGTACATCTTGATTTTGAAGAGAGTGATCAAATACACTCTTATTTAAAACTTACCTTTTTTATTCTAATCGCCCTAAATACCTTTTTTTTTCAATTTTTTTTTTTTTTTTTTTTGGCAAAGATCGCATTTATTTTTTTCTTTTCTTTTTCTTTAAATCTTGTTATTCCCTTTTCTTCTTTGTTTTTCTTCCTGCTACACTTTCTATGTATCACTTATACTTGACTTAATACTATATATATAAATTAGGAAGTAAAAAAAAAAAACTCTAAACTGGTAATTTCTTGTAAAAAGTATCAGTTTACATATAACTCATATTTTGATAACTCAAATGAAGTATTAAATTTGTTACTATTATTTGGCTATCATAGATTAAGTTAAACTATTATTACTCACTGTAAACTTGTATAAGTGATGTCTAAAGTTGTATGCTAAAACTAATGTTACGGAATTTGCTAACTATAATCTTTGATAAGTTTTTATCGAAACTATTTAATTTATACTCCAATTGTATGCAGATTAGGATATGGAAGTTTTGCTAAGGTGCCTTCGTTGTGGATGTTGAAAGAAGATGGGTATTTTGGGCATTGAATGAACTGATGTTGTATTCTTTTGGAATGAATGAAATACTATCTTGAATGTTGTGGTAGGAATAGAGTACTACCAATTTTTGGGCATGACATTAAACTATGTATATTCTGAATATTATGTGACATTGATGTCACATTTTGGGCAAGCATGGAAAATGTTTGTACTTGGAACAACTTCCATCTTTAATATATTCAAAATAGTAAATTCAAGTATCTTGGTATTTGTTATGACAAAACTAAAATAAATAATTATTACTAAAAATTAAATTAGGTGACAATAGTCAAAATCATACATTACATAATTTTTGCGACGACTATTGTTGTTTCAAAAACGTTGAAGTAGTACAACGACAAATGTCGTTTTCTTTCCTAAACTAATTATTGCAACGACTATTGTTGTTGCAAAAAACAATGATGTAACACAACAACATTTGTCGTTGTCTTTCCTGAACTAATTATTGCAACGACTATTTTTGTTGTCTAAAACTATTTACCATCGATCAAGTTTAATGCATATTTAGCAACGACAAATCTTGCACAACAAATAAAGTCGTTGCCAAAACAATATTTTTCGCAACAACAATAGTCGTTGCTAAAGCCTTTGGCTACAGGCTTACGGGCAACGACCCTGCAACGACCAATGTCGTTGCAAAATACGTTTTTAGCAATGACTAATTATATATTGCAACGACTTTAATCATTGTGAAAAATGTGTTTTCTTGTAGTGAATGCTGGCGTCAGGCGCCAAGCGTAGCGCCAGGTGCTACAACTGGCGTTTGGCGCTGATTCAGAAAATCACACGTTTTCTTAAAATCAGATAAAAATTGCCGTACAGGAGGATAAAATCGTATTTCCCTCAAAAATGCTCTTTGATTTTAATTAAAACTCTGAAAAGTCAACAAAAGTCAATTTATCAATATTAATTGAATTAGGAATGAAAAGAACCTTCTAGAAGAATCTAGAAGACTAAAACCATTCCTAATTGCATTAGGAATGATAAATCATTAGGCCCTCCCCTAGATCATTGGGCCGCATATAAAGCTCAAACCGGGCCTAGTTTAGTAAATTGGCCATAATTTCCTCAATATTCATCGGAATTGGGCTTATAATATATCGTTGGAAAGCTCTTGTCAAGCTTCATCCAACTACACTACTATTGGACCCATATCATGGACCAGCCAAACTGGATTGGCTGTTTTCTTAAAATAAGTTTTCAAAAACAGAGAGAAGAGAAAAGAAATTAAAACTATCCGCAACACTAGACTTTCCACACTTTCACTTCATTCGATTATGATTTGACGCGAAAGGTACTCATCACTGGGTTTGATTTTGGGGAGACACAAATCGGTGTCTACAGCAGGTATCGGCGTTACAAGAGTGATTTAGGATCGCGGAACGTTCTGAATCATTCTCCGTCCCTATCGCTACATTGACTTTTGTTTTCGAAACTTGCGTTTCTCCAAACTCAGTCAAAGTGGGGGCTTCTGTAGACACCCAAATGTGTCTCCCTAAAACCAAACTCAGTGATGAATACCTTTCATTTCATTTGATTATCGAACGAGGCGAAAGTGTGAAAATTCTAGTGATGAGGATTTTTTAATTAAAATATCTCTTCTTTCTGTTTTTGAAAATATTTCTTTTCTTACCCTATTTATGAAAAACGTGCATTTCAGTTTAGTTTGGTCCATGATAAAGATCCAATAATAGTGTAGTTGGATAGGGATCGAAAAGAGCTTTTAAACGATATATTATAAGCCCAATTCCGATGAATAATGAGGAAGTTATGGCCAAAATACTAAACTGGGCTTGGTTTGGTACTTACATACGACCCAATGATATAGAGGAGGGCCTATTATTAATTATCATTCCTAAAGATATTAGGATTGATTATAGTCTTCTAGAATACTCTAAAAGGTTCTCTTAAATCCTAATGGAGTTAGGTTGATAATTATGTTTCAAAGAGTTTGAAATTGAATAAAACTACTCCATTTGAGAATCCTTGTTCTGTACAAAATGGAATATATTCAGATATTATTTTTGTGCCTCTTAATATTTATCCAAATCTTATATGGTTGGATAGATATTGAAATTATCTTTCCAATGATATATTATAATATTAAATCCAAGCTATAACGAAAAAGATATGAATGGAATATGAAACTCTATCCAAAACTGACATCCTTCCACTATTTCGGCCATATCTTTTTATCTACAAAATATTTTAATCTGATTCTAATTGGGTTAGAAAGTAGACTTCAAGATCTTTCTAATGACATATTATATGTCTTATTTGAACTTCTGGATCAAAAGATATGATAAAAACAAAATCCGCAAAAACTGTCCTGCAGTGCCGGACGACAGGCTTGTCACGCGGTGACAGACTTAGTCGCGCGGCGACAGGGGCTGTTGTGGCGACAACGGCGTGTTTTATTCCTCTTCAAACTCTGATTCTTTTTTTTATCAAATTTGGACTGTTTTTATTAAAAATAGCGTCCTTAGACCTCCGTTTTTTAATAAAAAATAACCAAAACTCTCTAATTCTCTTCTCTCTCTAAGCTAAAGCTTATTCTCTCGCTCTCTCCCTCTATCTAAGCCTAGCCTCTTACAAACACAATTCCTCATACATTAGCACTAGACACAACTAGCCAAGTTCGAAGTTGCCTTCGCCCTAGACGTGAAAGGTTTGATATTTCTGAGGGTTTGGTCCCTAATCTCTCTTTCAATTATTTAATTTAATTCTTTGATTTTATTATTTTCCTTGAAGTTACTAACGTGTGTATTTTGTTATTAGAAAAATATACGAGTCATCCAAGTAAGTACTTTAATTGATATTATGATATAGAAATCGTGTTTAGATTGTTATTTTGATTCCTAGTATCATGTTAGGATGTTTTCCCTAATATCATGTTAGGATGCTTTCCTTAGTATGATGTTTAGGGTAAAGAATATAATGTCAATTATGATTTCTATGATGCTTTCTATTTCTTTCTTAATATCATGTTAGTATCATGTTAGGGTTAAAGCTTTGATCTTTATTGTTTAGTGACATGCTAGGGTTTGTTATTAATCTTATTAGTATCATGCCTAGGATCTTGCTATTATTATGCTTTAACATGATTATTATGATTATTATTGTTATAATTATTATTATGATTATGTTGCTTGATAATTGCTATTGTTATTGCTTGATCACGCCTTTTATACATGTTTAAAGGGAATTGGTACTTGTAATCACGCTTAATAAGATAATTAATAATCTTGTTTAGGGTTAATTTGATTATAATTCAAGTGATTGCCAATAATAGATTTATTTGTGCATTAATATTCAACCAACATAGATAAACAGGTTTAGGATAAACATATTGATTGCATGTTAGTCAGAAAGCGCACATAAATACAGGAAGAAGAAAGTAGAGGCCTATTATTAGGGCAGGTTCTTTCTCTTTTAGATTGGATTTGTACCTTCATCCCCGAACTTCTTCCAGTCTTGATTCCAGACCTATTGGAGTTAACGATCTCCTGGATCGTTAAAGGGTGTAACCTTCACCCTATGAACGGTTTACAAGTTCCTAAAACTTGTTGGCGACTCTTTTGCTCTAGCTTCTTTCCCTTTGGACGCCACTATGCTTAAGTGTATGATCACAGTGGGGTTCAAGTTTGGGGTAATGCTTGAAATATTCCCTAAGACAAAACTTGTTTCTATAATTAAATAAATATTTGTCTTAGGTCGATCAATAAGAGATTATATCTTAATTTATTTAATTGTAGAAACATGTTTTGTGTTATGATTATTTATTTTGAAAATGATCATATATATTATAACTCGCCAATGTATATATTACTATATAAAAAGGTAATCAAATCTATTGCATCATTCTATAACTACAATAGGAGTGTTATGGAGAGGACAAAACCCTCATTGAACACCCTCGCACAAAGGCTAGGAGTGTTATGGAGAGGACAAAACCCTCATTATGAGGGAGTTATGTCTTCGATAAGTGCAATTACTAGATATATCAAGGATCACTATTATGGAGATAATAAGTTCGTTCTTTTAGGTTGTCATTATCTGTTGCTAGACTATGATCATTGATCTTTAGGCTAGTCAAATAGTCCAAAGCCCACTAGAATGGATCCTATAAGGTCACACAACATAGGTATTGGGTTAAGCAAGTTAGAGACCCATTTATGGGCCTCATGAACAAGTAACTAATCATGAATTGGATTGGGCTAGTAAGGATTTGGGCTTTGTCATGGACTCTTATTTAGAGATGAGATCTATAAATAAGGTCCATGCTTAGGGTTGTATGATACAACACAATTAACAGTTAATTGTGCATCAAGCAACTAGTAATCCCAAAACCCTCACTCTCCCTCTCTCTTTGTCCCACGCCTATCTCCTCCCCCCCCCTGATCGTGGTGGTTCGTGATTTGTTCGTTGCTCGTTCTTCTTCATATAAGGTCAATTGAAGTGTTCGATTGCGACTAACTAGCATTAGTGGAGGTCTTAATATGTGCTTGTGGACCAAGTAGAGGAATCACGTTTGAGGTTCTTTATCTCCCTTGTTCTTGTTCGATCGCACATGGAATCACGCTTTAAAGGTATTAATTCTAATTCTTTATGTGCTATGCATGATCTTGGGATTAGGTGCTATATGAATATGATTTATGTTTTCCGCATTCGTACCTATAATCTCCTACACATTGAACACCCTAGCACAAAAGGTATGTAAATTAGTATATTCCCCTGCAATTAGATAGTCTTTGGACCGTATAATGGAGGAGATAGCATTTATGAGCTACGAGTATCTAACTGATGATGTATGAGTACATCTTAACTCTTTCCTATAATCATAAACTATAAGCTTTTCCTAGGATAAAAATCGCTCGAGACAATGACATAGTAACTAAAGCAAAATACATCTTCTAACAACCTCTTAATAAAAAAATAAGACTATTGTACCTCATATGTGAGACATAACTGCTACATTCGGTAGAAGACTCATCAAAAGAGTAGCTTTGTTTGACTCCCCTATAAACACAACTAAAAGAGATTACATTAAAAGTATTACTCTAATTTTTTTTTTTTTTTGGTTTATCATTTTAATGATATCCAAGCAATTACACTTTACACTCCACTACTACGAAGGTACCATTATTGCATTCATTTGTCAACTCCACCAATCTTGAGTTGTACCTAACTCTAACCGGAT